TAGCCAAGACTGTTCAGAAATTGATGAGACCAAAGCAGGTGAGCCATGGATTCAAGGACTCGCTGAAGGTGAATACTCTGACCTATGTGTTGAGGAGCGTCTAAGTGCTCTTGTTGCCTTGATTGGCATAGCAAATGAAGGAAATTCTATCCGTGCAATTCTTGAGGTAATAAATCTGGTAAATTTATCATTATTGACCATTATTCCATTACTGTCTCTTTCAGCTATCTAACGAAGATGGTTTTGTAGGATCGTCTGGATGCAGCAAATGCTTTGAAAAAACAGATGTGGGCTGAATCCCAATTGGATAAAAGACGATTGAAGGAGGAGACAATCAATAAATTTAATGATAGTTCCTTCAATGTTGTGGTTGAGGGTAGCCAAAGCCCATTGGGATATCCAAACAATAAAAATCAAGGGACATCACCAACCACACTGGTAAAGGATGACTCTGCTGGTATAGTAGACAATCTTCAGAACCACTTTGAAAGCATTCCTGCTGAGAAGAGTTCAGCCGCACAAGAAACCTTTGTGGGTCAATTTGCTGTACCAAGTGGGAATACAGCAGAAAGGTCACGCATGCAGTTAAAATCTTTCATTGGCCACAAAGCAGAAGAGATGTATGTGTACAGGTCCTTGCCTTTAGGTCAAGACCGCAGACGCAATCGTTACTGGCTATTTGTTGCCTCTGGTTCTAGCGAAGATCCTGGTTCTGGCAGGATATTTGTTGAATCACCTCATGGCTGCTGGAAGCTTATTGACACTGAAGAGGTATGCTCCTTTCATTATTTTTTAGAATGCACTTCGCTGTTAGTATGTCAAAGTAGGTTTAGTTGGCTGAATATATATTTTACCCAAGGGAAAACGCTTGCACTATTTTGGTTTAAAAAAAAAGAAGAGGCCAGCCCGGTGCACCACGCTGTGTGTGGGGGGGTCCAAGGGTGGGTCTGACCAAAATAGCTCTATTGTATGCAACCTTACCTTGCATTTCTTCAAAGAGATTTTTCTGTATTTAGGTGTAAGAAATGGCAACTTATGACTGAACAAGATATAACAATTGACAATGTCTGGTAAATGAAGACCCTGGATGAATCTGTAGTTTAGAGAGAATTACATGTCTGGTAATACGCAACAAGTGTTGTGGAAATTGTTGCTTTTCTGGACTAGAAAGTTATCGGGTCAGGGAAACACCCTATATGTAGTTATATAGATCTTAGCAAGGTCTTGTCTGTCCTAAGAATAGCAGACCTAGCTATTACCTGTTTATCTACTAATCCTTTATTTTACCTGCAGGCATTTGATTGTCTTTTGGCTTCTTTGGATACTCGAGGGGTTAGGGAATCACATTTGCATATTATGTTACAAAAGATTGAGGGTCCTTTCAAGGGGCGCGCACGGCAAAACATGTCTTGTGGAGCTAGTTCTAACCCAACATCTGGTGCAAGTGCAGACAGTCCTGGCAGTGCCATATATGGCATGAGTTCTGATAGCTGGGAAACATCTTCGTCTTTTAAAATTGAGCTCGGGAGGAATGAGGAAGAGAAAAAGAATGCCTTACAGAGATACCAAGGTTTTCAGATCTGGATGTGGAAAGAATGTCTCAGCTCATCAATTTTATGTGCCATGCGATATGGGAAGAAAAGGTGCTTGCCACTTTTGGGCATTTGTGGCCACTGTTTAGATTCTTACCATTCTGAAGAGGGTATTTGCCCTTCTTGCAACAAGATGAGTAGCAAAGTTGACATGAACGGCAAGTTCCTTGAGCAGGCAATGGAGTCTATGGACAATCTGAAAATTGATTACAATAATTTGGTGGTTTCAAACGCTTGTCCTGTACGAGTAAGATTAATGAAGGCCGTATTAAGTTTCACTGAGGTGAGGTTTTTGCGATATATCTCCAAGAATCTGGTTTTCTGTTAGGCTGTCTGTCTTCACTCTTCTCCTTCTGTATTTGTCTTTCCTATGTCTGAACAGACATATGAACATGAAGTACATATGTGATATGAGGCACAATCTGTTGACAGTTTTTAGTTTCTTATAACATGATATTTAGTATTTGCTTTGTTGCTGGAATGCACAGGTTTGTGTGCCATATGAGGCACTTCAATCATCTTGGACAGAAGACTGTAGAAAGACATGGGGCCTGAAACTGCAAAATTCGTCATCTCCTGAGGATCTTCTCCAGGTATCTCACTCCCTTCGACTCGTTTTATATGGGATTACTGTTCGAGAGTCTTGTGTTTACTTACAAGTTTTTAAATGTTTTTTTAGATTTGTTTGATTATAAACAAATATGATTTTTAGTTCTTTTTATGAAATGCATTACTTCTCGAATTTCCAAGAATGTTGAAGATTCTTTTTTTCTTGACCGTGCGAGTTTACTACGAAAATATGCTTTGGGACTCATCTGTACCTGATCATTAATCATTGTTATTTGGACAGTAATTATATTTTTGTCTATTTCATTTTCTTGGGTCAGTCTGATTTAGGCTTACGGATTGAAGTGTCTTGTCAAGGTACAATTTTTTTTTATGATGTTGAATTAAGGTGAAATAAATATATATGCTACTATTATGTATGATAATGAACTGGCAGGATTTCTTCCCTAGTGAGTTCTCTTCTTACCCTTTTGAATAAAAGAGGGGGAAAGAGTAGAATATAAAAGTGAAGGTTATCCCCCATCTGGGAATTGGTTTTACTCCTGCATGGTTGTTCCTCAAACCAGTTATTTTGTTAATGATGCTTGGATCATCTAATTTCTGTACTTCGCCAGAAAGCATATGGCAAATTCAGATAGTTCGGCTGATTTGTTAGCTGTTGCTGAACCTGTTCCTATACATCCCCTCCAAATTCAGAAGCTTTAAGAAGAAATGGTTCTTGATTTTTTATTTATTTTTGGGCAGATTCTGACTCAGTTAGAGGGTGTCATCAAGCGTGATTACTTGTCTGCTGACTATGAGACTGCAGAAGAATTGATGGGTCTATGTGCTTTATCAAGAAAAGCTGCTTGTGAATCTACTTACCCTGAATCTGTGCCACAGCTCCCATGGATACCTCAGACCACCTCTGCAGTGGCTCTGAGACTTTTGGAGCTTGATTCCTCCATATCCTATGATTCTCAGCAGAAAACTGAGGCTGAGTTGAAAAATAAAGTAGATTGCCTTCCAGTTGAGTTGTCTTTCCTTCTGATTTAAGTAATTGCTGTTATTAATTATGTTTAGTTTTACTGTTTATCCATGTTTATTTGCTCTGCATGTCTTTGTGGATTTATTTGGTGAAAGAAAAATTTTCAACTTGTATATGGTCCAAAATTTGATCATCCACTGGCTAATCGCATCTAGGACTGCAGATAATACCTGTGACTATATAATAAATGCTATATTTTTGGCTAATGATGTTCTTTCTTCTGAATCATCTTGATGACTTGATTTTTTCTTGCATGCAGAAGCCATCTTTGGGGTATGCTTCTTTAAAAGATCTGCAAAAGGTAGAACCAACAGTGATGGATCATGGACTAATGAGAGAGGAAAACTGGGATTATCTCAGCAATTTGCCTAGCAGCTCAAGAAGTAGGCAAGTTGTTCGTGGGCGTGGAGGCGGTCGTCCTCGTGGAAAGCTGCAGAAAGGAACTTCTAGCAAACCACCAGAGTCTGGCAGGGCTGTTGTAAGGCCTAGTGAGACGTTAACTCAAGTTCTTATTAAGCAGGGAGAAACGCATGGGCAGAGACATGTACGAGGTCGCCGAACTGTCAGGAAGAGGAGAATAGAAAAGAAAATTGTTGAAGAGGCTCAACCAGATTATTTGGGTGACAGAAGCAGCCGACTAAGTCCTGTAGTATCACCTATAAAGCATGTGACGGAAGAGTTCGATATGAATATGGAAGGAATAGAAGCCACAAATGATAATAGTATTAGTATGGAAGCTGCTGAATCTGATGATAGTGCCCCTGAAAATACATATGATTTTAACAGGAGTGATTTAATGGATATGTCAGATGAGGATCAGGTTGTTTCTGCTGATGATGGAATTGAAGATGACAATGATGATGAAGATGATGACAATGACAACGACAACGACAACACTGATAGATACAGAAGCCATGGTCAAAATCTGGAAAGATATGTTAACATGGATGATGACGACTCAGATAGGGATGGGGATGTCAATGAGGATCAAGAGTCGGACTCTTCGGAGTCTGAAGATTATAGTGATTGAGGTTGCCAAGATTTTTGTGGGGCTTGACAACTGCAATATAGCTCAGATGGTTGATCGCCAGAACACAGAGGTCTGGTGTGATGCATTCGTTCTTTTTTTAAGGAACTTTGGTATTCTTTTGAGATGAAGCCCGAGAGCTGGCTTGTCTTTGTGTATAGTGTTAAAGGAGCAGAGTTTTTGTTACATTTTATCATCATAGAACAATAGTATAAAAAATTAATAGTTAGTCGGAGTTCAAATACCGTCGTGCAATCGTCTATTATGGGGCTGTTGGTGATCAAAATCATCTATGTCAAATTTTACAGTTACACCTTTCTGATCATTTTTACTTCAATGTTTAATGATTGGTGGCTTATCTAAATGATAGCTTGTTAGTCAATATCTTTTGCTTCATTGTGGTTTATTATTTTTTATCCCACTCTTATGTAAATTGCAAAAACTCAATACCGTTTGAAGTAATGACTTCCCTGTTACAGTAGCCGGTTAGACTCGAGACTAGTTAGACTCGAGACTAATGAAATGTAGTAGATAAGTATGTAAGCATTTAAAAAAAAAAATACCTTTTTAGCATTGAAGAAAGTAGATTTCATAAAGTGTTTGGATAAAAGTTGAAATTAGTTCTTGCTATAGTTAACCTATCTGCGAAGCTACAAGATTTCACAATGCAAGTTTGTGCTTCACTTAAATAATCCATCTCCCTCTGCAAAGTACATGAGGAGTCGACGAAACATTTATCATACACATTAGACTCCAACTTCAGCAAACGAGAACTGTTGAAGAGTTATAAAATGTCAAAATACTTTATTACTATCACATATTTATTGACTTACACAGACAATTCTAAGCTATAATATGCAAACACTACAAGGGAACCAATTACCCAAGATAGTAAATAATAAAAGAAACTAACTAAAACAGTACACAGACTGTGTAAAGATGCTATGGGTTTGGCCTAGGACGGAAGCAACTTCTTAATTCCAGTCTTCTGGTCTGCTGTTAACCTTGTAGGGAACTTGATATCAAACTTGATCCTCAAATTCCCTCTCTTGGAAGGATCTTTGGGTATTGGCATTCCTTCCTTTGGGACAATCTCTTCATAGTTTGGGTGTATGACCTTGTTGATAGGAATAGTCAGTTTTCTTCCATCGAGCGTTGTTACATGGGCCGTGTAGCCTGTTAATGCTTCAACAAGTGAGATATTCTGATTGATTACAAGGTCATTCCCATCCCTTGTGAAAACACTGTGTGGTTTCTGATCAATTGTGAACACGAGATCTGCAGGAAGAACGTTTGGCTCTTCGTTTCCTTTCTCTGTGAATGTAATCTTAGTTCCCTTTTTCCAGCCAGGTTTGATTATAATGGTTAGAATTTCTTCTACTGGTAAAGTCTTCCTGCACACAAAACTAGTTGTCAGAATATAAACAGCAATAGTGACAACTTCATGTAATTCGACCAGATGAACAAAGTTGGACATTACACTGTTCCTTTATATGTTTCTACAGCAATGAATAATTGAGAAGTTATAGCTACAACCACAGTTTTTGGTCCATGGAGCTCATGAATGTACAGCAAACCAGAATATACATTTAAGCTATTACTCCTATCCTACTCATTCTTTTATAATAATACACCTACAATTGACATTCAAGCATAATTTGGAAGTAAGAACTCCACCCGACGCCTATATATGCATTCAACTTGGGCACAAATTAAACACAAATACTTAAAGAACACAACAAAAACTTGTGCAGCAAATACAAGTTTCAAACAACCCGAAGGCCACTTGGTGGCAATCAGGTTGCTCCATAGTGAACAGTTATACGAGATATAAGAGGGATCGGCTAAACAAGAATTCGACAACTAACAAGCAAAAGATCCATTCATTGAAGTTCAATGAACTCAACAGATACTAATTCATAAATTAACCAAGCAGGGACCATAATTATAAAGTAACAGAAAGGATAAACATGACTACATAACAATACAAGCCAAATAAACAGTAACAAGCATATCATATCTGAAAATTCTGATCAGTTTACTTACCCACTTGCATCAGCAATCTCCCTAGAGATCTTCATCTTCTTGGTTGTCCCGTTATAAAGTTCTTCTAGACTACAAGGGACTGTTCGTTCAATCGGTGGCGCCTTCCGTATCGCCGGTCTGCCTTCTCCAAATGAACTGAAGATATCATCCCCAAACATTGAACTAGAAAACCTTGCACCTCTCATCCCACCAACACCACCACCTCCCATCCCACCACCACCGCCTCCCATCCCACCACCAAACGGGGTTTGAAACCCGAAAAATTCTGCAAAGATATCATTGGCATTTCTTGGATTGAATCTAAACACATTTGGTCCATCACCTGTATGGAAATACGTAGCCCCACCAGGTCCACCAGCAGCAGCATCTGGTGGTGGCACTTGACCTTTCAGGCCTTCTTCCCCATACTGATCATAAATTGCCCTTTTCTGTGAATCACTCAGAACCTGCAACAAAATTTCAACATAAAAATACAATCTTTAAAAGATAATTGAAAACCCTATTAAACAAATTTCAAGAATCAAAGCATTGGGAATCAAGAAAGAGCCTAAACTAGCAGTGATTAACAGAATAAAACATAAAATTAGCAGCTTTATTCAAAAATCAAGAACAAGAATTGTGAATTAAGTACCTCATAGGCTTCAGAGATTTGTTTGAATTTAGCCTCAGCTTCTTTCTTGTTATTTGGGTTCTTATCAGGATGCCATTTCATAGCCAATTTCCTATAAGCTTTCTTCAGTTCATCATCTGTAGCACTCTTATCAACTTGCAATATCTTATAGTAATCTACACCCATCTTCTATTACCAGTTCTTGAACTCAAAATTTGATATTTGATAGAAGGATAAATAATAGGCAAATTTATGTAGAGGATATGTATGTTTGTTGTAGTGTAAATTGAATGATTGAAGTTTTGTGTTTTGGAATTTGGTTGTGGGTAGAGTTTTATTAAGAGAAGGAGAGATGGGTCTAGAAAACAGAGCAGTAGAAGAATGTAGAACTTTCCGGACTTCAGTTCAGTGCTGTTATTTTGACGTGGAAACAAATTCGCTATTTCCAGAAACTCTTTTGACACATTTAGGGATAGTGATGGGGCGGGCGTTTAGGAGTGGGGCGGGTTTAATGCTATGCGGGTGGAACGCAGGATAAGTTGAAGTGAGTTTTTTTAAATTAATGTGAGGCGGAGCGAAATATGGGATATATAATTTCATGTGGTTTAAATTTAATTATAATTTTTTACCTATCATAACTCATAAGAGTGATATAATACTATTTATTAAGAAATTACTAAAATATTTAAGATTGTAAATGAAAATGGTTCAATAAAAAATACTTCAATTTCTTACATATTTCCCAATTGACCTCTAAAAATTAAATTTTAAGTCACTATCTTATTAAATTAATACAACTTAATAAAAGATAGATTTATTTTTATGAATTTTCTTTTTAGTATCAAACTTAACTAAAAAAAGAAAATATTAAGAAAATTATGTGGGGCGGGTTCATGCGGAGTGGGTCTATGTAGGACATGGTGGGGCGGCTAAAAAGAAAGAATTTGTTATGCGGGGCGGATTAAAAATTTTGTGGGCTAAGCTCAACCCACCCCGCCTCCGCCCCTGCCCCATTGCCATTCCTAGACACATTCCGACTAAATATTTACTAATTTTTCATATAATTTAAAATAATTACATATTATCTAATTTTATAGCAGATTTTAAGTAAATCAACTATATGTATTTTGCTAGGGGTATAAAAAATGAGCCAACAGTAGGTAACCTGCTCAATCCGCCCAGAAGGTTGAGCTCAAGAAAATTTGAATTTGATTCAATCTCAACCCATTAAAGTCTTAATCGGGTCAAATGCTGATCAAGACCCAAACCGTTTTTAAGCCCAACTCATTTGAGCTCAAATTAAACTTAGGCAGATCAGGACCAAAACACAATTTATATTTAAACCAATTTTAATATCTCTAATTTCAACTCAACCCGTTCATTTGACACCCTTATATTTTACTATCAGATACACTATAATAGAAAGAGAGACGAAAGACAAAATGAGCGAAGGCGAGCGAGATATGTTAGGATTTTGCCTTAGTTTGCTTATTATATTTAAGTTTTACTTTTTATTTGAAGGAAAGTTAAAACATTACCATAATTACTTTTATTTTTTTTCTAAATAGGAAAATATAATTCTTTTTCATATTTGATCTTTTTTTCAGAGAATTATTTTTGAAGATCTATCCATCTTCTCATAGCACAACACAATAACATTCACAATATAAACATATAAGAGTTTTATTTAGAATGTGATTTTCTCTCTACAGTTTTTTATGGGTTATATTTAACTTTTAAATATGTAGGTCAATTGGTCAAACTATATAATAATATTAAGTTTCTTTTAGTATAGTCTTATTAGTCCCCTGATTTAACATTATCATAATTTGCAATTGTAAGTCTCCACATGACGCTTTGATTCTTTTGAACCCAACAAAATAGTCTATGTACCTCAGATACATGCAATTATAATAGATACATGTATATGATATACCAAATATATTCTAAAATACAAATACACAAGGAGAGAGGAGAGCGAGATAATAGGATACAATGTATCTAGAACAAATTACACCTAATTATGATTCATGTATCTGAAATACATATATCCGAAATTCAAATTCAGGTAAGATTCGTAATCTTAAAGCTCGCTTGAAGAAAAATAATTTGCTCCTAAACTAGTGAGATTTGTGTTGTTTATCCTATTTTTATTTTTTATTTTTATGTCTGTAATATTTGCATTGAGATCTAAATAAATTTATATTCATGTTTTTATGGAGAACCCAAAATCTATAATAATATCTACTCATAGTACTTTCCTATGTTTTTACCATTTCGGAATGTTTCATTCTCTCTTGAGAGACACATTAGAGTTTAAATAAATTTATATTCGTGTTTTATTGAGCACTCAAAATCTATAATAAACTCTACTCATAGTACTTTCCTACCATTTCAGAATATTTCATTTTCTCTTAAAGAGTGTTCAAGAAAAATCTAGCGACATTTTGTTAAAGAATGTTTTTTTTTTTCTATATCCTTTAAACATTACATGAATTGAAGTATTGAAAAATATGGGGAAAATTATGCTAAATACCTATATCATATACTCACTTATAGATATTAGATATACCCAGTAAACATTGTAAATTCTAAAATATTATTACGACAAAGGATAACAAAAATTCAAAGCTTTTTTCGTTCTAATTTTCTCGATTAATTCCCTCACGAGGAATTACTAAATCATTTGACTCTTTACCTATTTTAATATAAAGAATTGGTCAATCAAATGATAAAATATAATCTTTATATTTCAATATTACTTACGAAGAGTCTGAACATAAGCAATATGATAACTTTAAGAAAATAATATTTAAAGTTAAACCGAAAAAGTGTTTTTAGAAATCATATATATATATATATATATATATATATATATATATATATATATAAAAGATTACCCTAGACTCGCCTACGTAACACCACTACAAATCAGGATTTCCTTTTAATTTATTTTATTTCCAAAACTAACCTTCTCCTTTCATGAAAAGTTATGATTTTTATGAAGAGTTATGACTTTTATGAAGAGTTGCGACTTTTATGAAAAGTTGTGACTTTTATGAAAGGTTGTGATCTTTCCGAAAAGACACAATAAGCATTTGTTCACACTATCTTTTGTTGTCTCTAAATAGAGGAATTTCCTCTCATTTTAAAACAATGAAAATTTTGAACTTCTTCTTCTTCTTCTGGACAATTAAATAATTGTGTACTTTGCTCCTATTGAATGACTCACTAACACCATTTTTTTGTATCAATACACTGGTGAATAGATCGTTCTTTCCTGAGAGGATCTATTCTTTTAAATCTCGGGTACTAAGGGGGAATAATTTCCTTAAGGGGACACTGTGCATTCAGTGGACTCGATTTTTTCCATTCCATTTCATTCTATTATTACAGATCTTGGTATGTTTTTACAGTAATTAATTTATGCTTATATTATTAATTGTTATTTTTGAGTACATGCTTTAAATTTTGTTGTTTATGTTTCTGCAATATTATTGTTATAAGTATTTGTTAGTACATATTAAATAACAAACATTAATTGATTATTCAAGCAAGTTTTCTCTACTGGAATTGTTGAAGGTACAATAAAAAAAAACCTTACAAATCTCTGATTTGTTCATCAACAACGTCATTTCTTCACATACAAGGATGAAATTTTGTGTTATTTAGAAAATCCTGTGAGAGTTAATAACTTTGCATGCCCATATTTTTTTGTTTTTATGTTGTTGTTATCTATTTTTACTAAATTTTATCACTCGATATTATGAGTACTTTAAGGATTGAAAGTTGATTGAAGTGGTAGTCAATTTTCGGAGGTATGTTATTTTAAAACATGAGAACTTTTCTGGTTAGAATGATTTGTTATCATCATTTGATATCTCATAGTTTACTCCCTTTAATGTATGTTTTTTCTCGCTGTTTTGTTGTCTCGTTAAAATCGTATTGAATATTTTTTGTTTGGTATGTATATGATCTCACTTGGACAAAACTTTGGTCCTTTTAATGCTTTTCTTTTTTTCCTTCTCATTCAGCTCTACTAATTTTTTTTTCCTGAGTTATGACTATTTTCAGCAAGCTTAATTTGAAGAATATGAAATAAAACCTGCTCTAAATAAAAGTAATATATTAAGCAACAAAAGATATGTCTATTAACATAGATTTGTTGTCCTTTATGTCCCAAATTATTGCTGAGCATTTGAGTTATCTAGGTCAGACTCATTTTTAATTTTTAATTTTCGAGAATATTTCTTTAACACGAGTCTAAAATCCAACATTTTGATCTACTTGTATTTTCATAATGCAACAACTATACATACATATTTTTGAAAAAGTCTTTGCATTGATGAAGCATCTAGAAGGGCCTTCAAAGCAGCAATTTAATGAAGAATGAATTTCTAAAAGGGTCAACAAATTTATTTTTCTCCTTCTATAAATTTTGTTAGAGCAACAAAGTAACAATAACGAAAAGTGATGAATGTTTGACCTCCGACAAGTAGATTGTCTTTAAAAAACTTCATTTATGTTGTTGTGGTGTACATTTTTAACGGTCTTAACTTATTTATAACTAATATTGATTATCGAAAACTTTTATATAATTTATTTTTAACAAGAAGTTATTCTAACCATAAAATTATCAATTTTATATTTTTCATATACAAAAAAATAGAAAAAAATATGTTTAATGCTACATAAAAACATCACTCAGTTTTAACAGGACAATTATATCATCAAACATATATTATGATAAATTATGTAAAAGCTAAAAATGATTAGATATCAAGATATTTTTAATCATTCATCATATATTTAAAAATCTTGAGATATGTGATAATGTCAAATCATTTAATTTTTGTTGAAATGTTCTTAAAACCTACTAAAATTTACTTCTTTTTCCTATAACAATCGATTATCGAAAAGGCTGTTCAAAAGCTTAGAAAGATTATTTATGTCTGCGCGAAGCGCGGATAAATTACCTAGTTAAAGTTATATTTGAACATGTATTAGTTTAAGAAAAATATTGTGAGTGAACTGACAAAACAATCTTTTAATATTGAAGCTCGTTTCATATATATATATTTTTTAATTTCACTCCAATATATAACCATATGCTATTTTTTTTAGAAATAAGAAATAACGGTAAACATTTCCAGGGACAAACGCTATCATATACAATATAAATTTTACACAAAAATACTAATAATTAGATGTTAAAAACTAGGAAATTACTGAAGAAAGGAGAATAGAAATGATACAAAAAGAAATTCTAATTACAAAAGCAAAAACGAGGAATGTATTTTTTTTTTTTTAATCTTGTCAGTTTTATCGAATATAAAATAAAATAAAATTAAAAGACTTGATGTTAAGAAAAATATCTAGGAAAGTTGAC